AAATATCAATAGTACTGCAGATGCAATCCAACTAAGGGTTCTGAAACTCCATCACAATAATATAAGTAGAAATATATTTAGCGGAAACGATGACTGCCCAGTAGTAGAACCAATTTTTTTACTAAGGTTAATTGAACTTTTAAGTTTCAACTTTTACAAAAAAGAAGGCATCTAAAAAGCTAAGTAATGAACAGGTCTCGGAAGTTCTAGCATATGTATTTTTTTCTTGATTTATCCTAGAACATCCAAAGTAAGATACAAATATGTTTCTCACTACTCGGATATCATACACAAAATTTAATTTAATTTATTTTTTTTTTGCATATTTACAGGTTTTATTGCTATATAGCTAATTTAGGGTTTATAGCGCTATTTTAGGGTATATTTTCACGTAAAGTATGAAATAATCACATTTTGTTGATAATAATTGCATTTACTTGGTTATGTTTTTAAAAATATTTTAATTATTAGAAATAAATATACCTCATCAAATATTATTTTGTGTTTTCATTGACAATTTGATGTATTAATAGTTAGTGACATCATTTTTATTCCCTTATTATATTAATGCATTAGATTATCAAACATTTTAATAATCTAATAATTTCCAAGGTAAATATATAAAAATTTAATAATAAGTACATTTTTACAAATATATTTAAGTAATTTAACATTTTTGTTAAAAGTTTAGAAATTCAATCAGTCCATACTGTGTCTAATGAATCCAACAATTTGTATAATTACATATTTTTCAGGTTAAATCCACATTTTTTGATTTTTCGTGCTATTTATAGCACAAATTTAAGATTTAAAAAGTAACATTATTAGTGCTACAACTTCCGAGCCCTGTTAATGAATCATTACTAATCATTAGAGCCTGGATTTATATGCATTTAAAAAGTGTCAAATATGATAAAATATGGATAGAAAAAGTGACTAAATATGCAGTTATATGCACTATGTTACACTTTATAAAATGTGTTTTAAAAAAAAAAAAAAAATTATATCCACTGCATTATATTTCAAATCATTTAAGTCAATTTAAAACTTTTAGGAAACTTAAAAACGAGAATACAAATAAAAAAAAACTAAAAATAAATATTTTAGATTATTTGAAGTTACACCTACTCTCAAAAAACAAATAAAAAACTTAAATAAAATACAAACATTTTCAATTTTTTAAAAACCCATTAAATGTGCATGTTTTATGCATTTATGAACAAATATGCAATAACCCTTGAAATATGTAAAATATGCAATGTAAAGTTTGGTGTTTAAATTCGGTGTGATATGAATCGTGGACATTTTAAACCTCCATAGACATGCATACACTTAGTACAAACATTCAAATGCATATAAATCCGGACTCTACTAATGATATTAAAACAATTTTATTTCTAAGTATTAAAATTTAAATGTATTAACATATTACATGTTACAACAAGTTAGTTAATAATAACAGTTTATAATTATAAATATAATATAATATATTGTATTGTATTCGTGTTATGGATGGACGGAGTATGAGGAGTGTGATTTTGTTTATTAGGGATGCTGTAAGAAGGGGGTTAAGTATAGATTTTAGTTAGTCGAGGAATTTGATGATGATGTGTAGATATTGATCAGGTTATCCTTCCATATTAAGGTTTTCGAAAAATGCTAATATAAATACTCAGTTGATGTTATGAGTCTCTACGATTAATAATGATAGAATAGCGACCTAATAACTAATGTCGTCTAATCAAAATTCTCTTTAATACCCTCATTCGTCAACATTTAATTTTCTAAGACGTGTTAAACATTTCTACAAATTTCCAGTCAATATTATTTTGTATTTAAAAAAAAAAAAAATTGAAAATTCTTGTACTTATATGATTTTAAAGTCCTAAAGTTTTTAAAATTTAAAGTTTTATGAACTTATAATTACAAAAACATAGTGGATTTATGTCGGTTTTTCCAAATGTAATCAAACAGTTATAAAAACATTTTTTGAAATAAAGCTCAAATTTGTTTTAATTAAGAAATATGCATATGGAACTAGTGTTAATTTTACAAAATGTATTAAATCAAAATTATTGATATTTGATGTAAAAAAGCCAAGAAGTACGACATTTTTAAATCTTGAAAGCTAAAAAAAAATATTTATAATAATATCTATAGCAGATATTAGTGACCCGCGGTTCTCCTAATATATATCATTGTGTTTAAAATTTTAATTTTAAATCTTATATTGTAATAAATAAAATCATATAATGACTATTATACCTATACGAATATAAGTTATGGGCTTATCTCAAATTTCGATACTTACATTTCGAAAAAATAAATATTGTTCACGATTAAACGATGAACACGTAAATGTACTTTTAAGAATATCAACGTCCAATGTAAAACGAAAATAAATTAGTAGAAAAAATGTAATGTCATAAATCAAACTAATAATAAAATACATTTTATATTGTTTGTACTCAAGTATTAATAAATAATTTTTTTTTAAATTTTCTCTATTTAAAATATTTTAAAATATTTTATTCAAAATTTAATGAGGTCAACCTCATAATATAAAACTATGACTGTTGCTATCTATAAATATATTAGTATTATGTTTTAAATTGTATTTTTATTTTGTATGTGACTCAATGAAAAACTGATAAATAATATGAAATTTGTAAGTTAAAAGATTGCTGATCCCTGATCAATAGTGATGGGTAAATAAACAATCAGTGAAAATGTCTCAACAATTAATTTTTGAGTTATGATAACAAAAATTCAATTTTATCGAAAATCAGTATACGGTAGAAATTCCTTAATATAATTTTTCGTCTGTTTTACAATTGTGAAATTCGCTTGTATATTAATGATAGTGATGATAAAAGCTATCCTTCTAATTTATTTACTAAGTTTGTTTTCGGTATTAACATTATTTTTTCTTTCTTTTGCTTTTGATACCTAGGTATAATATAAAGTTTGTATTATTTTGTCTATAAACATAATCTGAAAAATTAATATAACTTTTAAAATACTTAAACATAACTTGTATGGATTATATTTATCAATTTTAACTAGTCACGATATTTAGGTTCAAGGTGAAAAAAAATCGAATAAGTTAATAAAATATTTAGTAAATCCAATATGTTATACATTACGACAGGGTTTAAACGAAGAGGAATTAGTCAATTTGTGAGTTTAAAGTTTAAATCAAGGTTATTTTCTGCACCCCACCATTCATTTTCTGTTGTAGCGCTTCTGTCAAATCAATTTACCAGCCCTTGTATACAGTAATTTCATAAAAGTAAAGTTAAAACTTTTAAAATAAATAATCGAGTTGCTATGGTAAATTGTATCTTTTTAAAGACTAGCTTCTCTTCTCGAGAGTTGGGATGTATTATCAAGTGTAATTATCTTTGATTCTTAAAAATTAAATGTTTTTTATTTAAAATTAAATTTAATTAAATTTAATTGAAATTAAATGTGTGAATATAAATTGTTATACTGCTATTTAATTATAGGAATATAGTTTGTTTGGTTTGTATATTTATTTATAAATTAATAATTTATTTTTCTTTAATCAGAAAGTCTTATTTGGTATAAATTTGTCAACTTAGATTTATCTAATACAGTAATTTAATATTGGAGAAGTGCTATGTATAACTACTTAAGTGCTGTGTATAAACATTCCGCTTTTAGTTTTAAAATGTTAACTTAAGGGGATTGCAAGCCATGATTTTCTCTCTTTCTATTACACGCTCAATATAGGGATTTAGACGTTTTCTATTTCCAACGTATCATCGATCAATCTATTAAGGCGATAAGGATTTTGAAAACTGATTTGAATTCGTCGTAAAGTCTCTTCTTTAAATCGATTTTCTCACATTTTTTAACTGTTCTATTTTGTGAAATTTTGGGAGACAAAATTAAAAAAGTCGTAAAGTTCATCTAATGAAGACTTTATGACGAATTTAAATCAGTTTTCAAAATCTTTATCGCATCAATAGAATTGTTCGGTACATTGGAAATAGAAAACCTCTAAATCCCTATATTAGGCGTGTGATAGAAAAAGAAAGAAAATCATGGCTTGCAATCCCTTATATTCTATTCATGTTGACGCATTTTTATAAATCTAATATCAGATAAACGTTCATTATTTATTATTCTAATTTCTAATTATTTCTTATTTGGTAGAATGTAGCTAGTATATGGGTCTATTGAAGGCCGTATCTAGAAATTTTTTTCGGGAGGGGTCCAAAACATGTATATTGTAATTTTATTGAATTTAGATTTTAACTTTTGATATTTGGTTAAAAATAAGACAAAAAAAGATTTAATCTTCTTTTATTAAAATTAATATCATATTTTCATATGATATTATGATATAAAATTAAAAGCAGTCAATGATTAATTGGAGCTTAAGTCATTTTTGACTGAAAATATTTATGTTGGTATTAAAAATAAATAAGTATTTTAAACATTCGTAAAATATTGAAGACATTTTTTTGGGGGGGGGGGGTTCAGACACCATAGACTCCCCCACAGATATGGCCTTGGATCTATTAATTCATAAGAAATGTACAACACTCCTGTACTCCAGTCTAGACGTAAAAAAATTTAACGAGATCCTATATAATATAATTTATATTATATCTAATTAATGGCTTATCTCAAATTTTTATTGATTCAAATAACCAAAAACGATTATCATTTCGGAATTGTTAAGTACAAAATCTAAGTTTGTCATATCATAATAAAATTTTGATTTTACTCTTATAAAATATCACATATGTTAAAATTAGGTATAATTTAATAGGTATTAATTTAGTATAAAGATTTATTTTAAATAAATGGCCTTAGGTAAAAAAAAAATTATAATTAAATAAGTATATTATTGCTTGTAAAATATTTGAGTTTTTTTAATAGGTTTTTGAAAATTATATAGTTATAACATTAAAAAATATATATATATATAATATCTCTGTTAATTTAATGTATGTATTATTTTATAGATGGGCATAATAATATAGAAAAATTAGTACCCAGTAAGAATATGGTCCCTAGTTTAAATGGTTGTGATCCTGGTGCAATATTTATTATGGAAGATGATGATCACCAGACAGTATTACTAAATTCACTTAACATGATGCGCAAAAGTCGAACATTTTGTGATGTTATATTAAATGTAAGTTAAATCATTAATTATAGCTGTTTAGCTACTATTTTTTCTTGTATTTTATTAATATTTTAAATTATAAGTGAAGTATGTTAAATAGATATTTTGAATATTTAAAAAAAAATTTTTTCTATTTTATTAAATTAATTTATATTATTATAATTATTATTGATTATTTTAATATGTGGGAATTTGTATTGCTAGTATTTTTTGTCATGTACAAATTCATATAACAATTTTTTTGTAATATATGGGTTGGGTCATGGGAAGTGTTGACTATTTTGAAACGTAGACCGACCACCATGAGTGTGTGTAGGTGGGCAATTGTGAGTTACATGGTCATCGTGCTGTGTTGGCCAGTTCGAGTCTATTTCTGATGGAGATGTTTAGTACTGATGATGAAGAGAAGAAAGGTTCACAACGAGAAGCAATAACCACATACTCATTGAATGCTACTGGACCACTCAGTGATTGTTCTGCTGTTGAGAAGCTCATCGAATACACCTACACATCTCGGTAACGCATTGTCGCTACCACTTATTTAATTAATTCTTAACAATTTCACTTTCTCGATCTCTAAGTAGAATATTTAGAAAAAAAAAAGAATTGCTATTTTCATTTGCTCATATAACTTATATTAATAGCCTAAACTTAAAGGCACTTTAAAAGTAGTTAATTCAAAGTTAGAAGCAACATTTTTATTTTTCATGATTAAGTGGAGACTCAATAAGGCATGATAAATTCTATGGGATCCGATTTTTATTTCATAAAACAGATTATTTGAGAAAAACATAGTAATATTAGTCCTACAGGTGGTACAGATACATGGTCTGTATGACCTTAATGATTGATTATATTAACAACATTCTATTTTCTTCAATAATACTATCATTATTATTATAACTTAAAAAAACATCAATAATGAATATGCTTAATATTCATGTAATATTTTGATTTTTAAAAATAAAAAATTTATTTTAGAATAATGTAACCTAGGCTTATTTCAAGTCTAGAGCCGTAGAAGCATTCTGTATAATGTATTATATTGAATTAGGGATCGAGAATATTATTTAATTTATCATTAATTTTCATTGGTAACATGATTTTTTATTTTCATTTATTATTATTTAATTTCTTAATAACTAAGCAACATATTAACTTATCGCAATTTAATAATTCCTAACAAAATGTACTTTTTTATTATTATTATTATTATTATTTCAATAATCTGAAATAAAATACTGATGATTTAATTTTGTTCTGTGAATTCTGTGTAATGCTATCTTATTAACAATTTGTTTTTAAAACCCTAATATATGACTATATTTCCAAAGAAAATGTTGATAATTTTGCTTTCTTATTTTCAAAGTATTTTATACATATCAATAGCATTATATACAGTCAATATCATTTTATATATTTTTTTAAAGGGAAGGTTAAACCCTATCAAGTATTTAATATTATTGTTTTTGATTTATTTGTATTCATAATAGTCAATTAATAACAATTATATTTATTTATTTAAAACAATTTCTATCTAGTTTTAAATTTAAATTAGATATTATGCCTTTTCTATAATATTATTTGTTTAAATTTCACTAATATGCTATAACTATCATAATTTAAATAATAAGTAACATTACTTCTAATGATTTGTTAATTAATATTTAATATTTAATTTTTTTAAATGTCAACATTTCCCGTTAATGTTTTACTATAAATTTTTTGTATTTCTATAAGCATTGCATTACAATCAATAATTATTTCAAGTTGATACATACAATTTTGAACTTGACCTATAAAGTGCAAAATGATTACCAACATACATTTTTTAAACTTAATAATTAACTATTAAGTTCTAATACACATATCAAATACCCATGGCATATCTAAATTAACTGGAATTATACATTTTTATTTATATTTGTATTTTTAATACATTAATGTATTTTAATTAAATTTGCCAATGCTATAACCTAATCATATTTAGATTCTCTAATTTCTATTAGAAAATGCTTGTGTTATTTATACTATTTTGAGTTCTAAATAATATTTGAGATTTAATCTATGAATTAAAAATTCTAGAAATTGAGAATTTTTTATTATCAAAAATATTTGTATTTTATTTTTTCAGCCTGGAAGCAAATATTCATCAAGTAAAATCAATATTTCAAGCAGCTTGTTATTTGAAAATGGACCGTATTGCAAAAGAATTAGCTCGCTTCATACTGAAACATTTAAATGTTGATAACTGCATTGAGATACGTTCTCTTCCTTGTATATCAACAAGCATATCATTTATAAATCAAGTTAACTCCTTTATATCAGCACATGTAAGTTTTGCACTTTTTAAGATTTAAACATAATTTTAAATTCTGAGTGAAGCGAGGAATGAACAAAATTTTAAGTGGTGATTTTCTTTTTTATTCAATGTAATGATTTACCAGGAACAACACTAAGAAGGACAATAAACACTTGGTCTCAGTATTTTACCAGCTTTTTAATTTTTAGATGAAAGAAATTTCTGAAACATCTGCTTTTCTATCTTTACCATGCATACGAATTGAAATTTTAAGCCAAACCAAACAAGAAATGTCTTTAAGTACAGGGGATTCAGTATCTCAATTGGTGTTAGATTGGATTAAGCGATGTTATGATGAAAATGAACCAACAATATTCTTTAACGCACTTATGGAAAAAGTATACCTTTATAATAATCAAGTGTTTTAATTAATCATAAGTTGTATTAATTTTGTTTTATCTTTTACAGACTTACATGTTATACTTGGCTTTAGATAATATATTGCAAGATTGTTCTGAACTCCCATCTGGAGAATTAAGTGATACAGAAATAGTTCAGGATTATAAAAAATTATCGAAAAAAACCACCTCTATTCCTAAGGTTTATATATACATTACATATATAAATATAGATATTTTGAAGTTAAATTATTTATGTTTTACTGTAATTTTCTTTTATATACTTTAGACTAGACGTAAAGGTCAAATACAACCACCTGCTAAATCTAGAGTTTTAATTTGCAATCGTGAAATACATGAAAGAAGAGAAAGTTTTATTGATAGTGATTGGACTATACTTGGGGTTACTTGTGTTGGGGGTATTTATTTATTAATTTAATCTTAAATAAGTGTTATTTTTGTTTTATAACCTATTATTTTTTTGTTTAGAACATACTTTTTCTGCATTGGGATCACTGAAAGGTCAATTGTGTTCATTGAGTATAAAATTAAAATTAAATATTTCTATGATATCGTCAAATCCACCATCCACTCAACCATCACCATTAAACAGTCGAGCTGAATCTCAGGAATCTTTGCCAGATCTTTATTGTGCTCTTGCTCACATGTCATCTGGAAAATGTGCTATTGGTTGTGCTAATTTCAAAAACAATCTATTAGTATGTGGAGGATATGACCGAACTGAATGTATAAAAAGCGTAGAATCCTATGATCCTGAACAAAATGTTTGGGAATCTGTTGAACCTATGTGTGAAGCACGTGGACGATTTAATATAGCAGTCTTGAATAATAAAGTATATGCAGTTGGAGGTTGTAATGGAACAACAGAATTGGCCACAGTTGAATGTTATGATATGATTAAAAAAAAATGGTCACCTGTAACATCTTTACCACTTGCTCGGTCAAACCCTGGTAATACTTCTGTTTATTTTTAATGTTTTGAACCGATTTTTGAATAATGTTGGTAATTTCTTAGGTGTTTGTGAACTCAATGGTAAAATATATTGCATTGGGGGTTGGAATGGTCAAGTTGGAATTAAACAAAGTGATGTGTATGATCCAAATACAAATCAATGGTCTAGTATTGCTCCATTGTTAACAGGTACATTTTATAAAAATGTGTGTTGATTGAAAACTAAATTATCATATACTTTAAACCTATTAGGAAGAAATCAGGCTGGCGTGTGTGCAATGAATGGTAAAATCTATGTTGTGGGTGGCTGTGATACTTGGAACTGTTTAAATACTGTTGAGTGTTATGATCCTGAAACAAATACATGGTCATTCATTAAACCTATAATTACTCCTCGGCGTGGTTGTGGACTTGCACATATAAAAGGTAGATATTTTATTTAATCTAGGTAGTATAAAGCAATGCAATATACATATTAATTTTGTATTTTTTGTTTTTCCAAAGGAAAATTGTATGTAGTGGGTGGTTCAGATGGCACGCAATCTTTAGCTACCACAGAAATGTTTGACCCTAATGAACGAACATGGAGTCCAGGGCCAAATATGACTACACCTCGATCAAATGTTGGAGTGGCTGTTGTTGGAAGTAGATTATATGCTGTAGGAGGATTTTCTGGTAATGAATTAAAAATTTATTGTTATTTTTTTTAAAATTAAAATAAAATTATTATTTTACAGGTAAAAAATTCTTGAACAGTATTGAATTTTTAGATGAATCTATGGATGAATGGTCTAAATTTAGTCCAAGAAATAATTGTTCAAAATCAGCATCTCCACTTCCAACCAGTGATACATTTTATAATTACAGTGATTGTGATTTATTAGATGGTTATTCTACAAATGGTGTAATTTAGTACAGAAATTTTATTTCATAATTTTTTTTTTTATATATTTATTAATTATTTTCAGTGTTCTAAAATATTCACAAAAAAAATCTCTCATTTTACCCATTTTTGAAATTTTCTGGTTAATACATATAATACTTATTACATTTATAATTTGTTGACCAATCATAATAATATATATTGTACAATATTTTATATTGGAAAAAAAATTATTTTCTTAATATTTTTAACAGACATGCATTTTGTGTTGTAATTTGATTACTCAATTAATCAATAAAATAATATTAATTATTGAACATTTTAAACTACAATGTATTGAATACATATAAATAAATAGGAAGTTTTATTTAATTCCATACTATGTTCAAACAAAATATCGTGTGTATTTATTTGGCTAATGCAATAATTAGAAACATAATATATTTATTTTGGATACTTAAAAATACATATTAAGTTAATTTACCATTTAAAACAGGGATGGTTATCATGCTAATCAATGTTCTTTGTGTTTATCAATACATTTTGGCTTTTTAACTGTAGTTAAAATCAATACTAAATAATTTGTTGGTTATAGAATCAATTTAGATGTTTATATTTTGAAGATCTTAGGACCATGAATTTAATTCAGAGATAATTACACATCAAAATTTTGTAAAGTGAAGTTTAACTTTTAAAATAAGTTCTAACAAAAATGTTTGATTTTAAATTCTATGCTAGGAGAAAAATTTGAAGTTGGGAAATTGGTTTTAAAATAATATTCAAAATAATTATTCTTTAAATCCTTTTAAGTCTTATTTAGTATTAATCTATAAGTATCAAATTTTTGTTTTAAGACTTGGACATTTTTTATACAAGCTTATAAAATAACTTATGTAAAGCACTCAAATTACAATCATAAATAATAAGATAATTAATATATATTTTACAATAACATTTAGAATCATTTTTTTATTTTATCATTGTTTTCAAATGTATACAAATAATATAATGAAGAAAGAGTATTTTTTTCGTTCAAAACCTTACAGACTTTTTATAGTAACTGTTTTGTACTGTACATTGTGTTCTATTTTATATTAATAATGGATGTATATTATTGGTGTCACTCATTACTTGTTATCAATAATTTATGAAGATAATAGAAATATTGAGATTAACTAATTGTAAAAAAATGAAATTTCCTTTTTATTTAGTTCTTAATATATTTTTTAATAAGTCTAAGTATTATTTGGAGTAATCTGTTAACAAGATGTATTATGTTTATAATTGAATATTTCAATGAAGCGTCGATTATCCGCACTAATTGGGACCGAAGGGGGTGCGAATAATTGATTTGTGCAGATAATCAAACAACCATTGAAAATTATAATATAAAGTTATAAACTAATTTACTAGACATAATACTAAATATAATATTCATACACAATATAAAAAATGACATATATATTTATATATAATATAACATAATATAAACTAAAAATAAATTTGTACTCAAAAATTTTGTAGTGTGGATAATCGAAGCTCCACTGTATGTATTTTATTGGTTTTTGTAACTTAAATCTTATGGTATAGTATTTTAAATTATAACTATTCCATAAGATAGTTGCACTTGATGCATAAAAATGCTGGTTAAAGATTTTTGAATTTTCTGTTTACTGTAGTCAAAAGATACTTTAAATATGTAAAATAAATGATATTTGTTTTGCCTGTGCCATTTTTTTCAAAATAAACCACTTAAAAAGTTTTCTTAAAAATTTAAATCATTGCAGTTTCTGCAACTTATTTTTAATAAGTTCGCTATATTTAATAATTAAAGTGGATGAACGGAGGAGTGAAATAAAATACTAGTTTTGTGTTTGACAAATATATATATATAAATAATTATAATATAGTGAAGTACAGTTAATTCATCGGCTAAGTTATTTCTATATAGTTTGACATGATTTAAATCTATGCTCAAGTATTTTAGAAAGAAATTTAAATGGATATATGTTGAATATACTAATTTTATTAGAAATGTTCATTTAAAGATATTAATATTTGCCATACAAATATATAATTTAATTTAAATATAAATTTTAGATTATGTGTAATAATGAAAGGTAGAAAGGTATATAAAAACATGTAAATTGCAGTTAAGATACAGTCCAATTTAAAAGATTTTTTTTACTTGCATTACTATTTTTTTCTTGTAGTTATAAATGTTTTAGCTAATCATTATACTAAATAAAATATTAATTAATAATTAATAATTCTTACATATTTTTAAAAATACAATTTAACTTGATATCTGCACTGTATAAAATTACTATAAATTCAAGTACTCAATATAGAACCTTAAAAACAGGATGCAGTAAAATGTAGAAGCTTAATAATTACTATAATATAACACTTTAAAATAATTCTATCATAGTACAAACACAACTAAGTTATACCACAGTTTAAGATATCCACTGACACAACATAATGTGAGTATTAATAAAAAGTGAAGGATTTAAAACCAACTTCAAAGCCTTGGTGTATTTTTTTATACTCTAGTGAAAAAATAATTATGGAATTAAACAGAAAATAAGATTTTAAATAAAATAAATTATGTATTATAAACATTAAAAATAATCTGTATAATGGTAACGGATCCTGGAATAGTTCATATCATTTGATTGTACAAATTATCATTAATAATATATAGATCATAAAACATTTTAAATGATAAAAAAAAGTTACATAACATTACATAGTAATAAAATTAATTTACAATTATAATTACTATCACAAAATTGTTAATAATATAATCAGAAATTAAGAGGTCAAATTCTAGATTCATGGGCTATGCATTTGTATTCTTAATTTAAAATACAATAAAATAATGAATAATTAGGTATAATGTATTTATTCAATTAAAAATACACATTTCTGATATATATATATATATAAATATAGATTATTTAAATACTTATTTGGTGTAATTTGAGTTAAAAAAAATATGGAACCTACACTTTCAGTAAAAGAAAATATTCATGTAACAATATTTTGATTGAGATCATACATCGCAAAATTTATGTTTAATTATTTAATTAAGTAGATTTCAAAATAAATTAATAAATATTAAATAATTATATATTAAATAAATTAGACAGTGGTAATTAAAATTGTCAAGTCTCTAAATAAATACATTTTATATTAGTACGTTAAAATAACTATACATAAAATGTGCTATGCAAATATATTCAAACAATACATATAAAGAAAAATTAAAGACAAAGCAAGAAAAAATATTTTTATACATTATAAAACAAAATATTTTTCTATAACTAATTGAACACGACATTTTTTTTCTCTAAACATTTTAGAAATACTTTACATTTTAATGAAATTTAACTTCCATAATTAAAAATTAGTTTGTAAAAACAAACGATTATGTCTTGGTTTAAAATTAAATATGCCACATTTTATATATTTGTGAAATACATACATATTAAGTAAGAATAATTTATTTTTATTTTTTTGATAGATCCAAGATTTTTTTATACAACACATTTTTAAAAAATATGTAAATACTGTTGGTCATGGGCAGAGACTTTGATTATAAGAACATAACAGCCACTGGATATGATGTGGCGTCTAATTTTTGTCATACTTCATCTGCAGTGTCATTTTTATAAAATGTAATAGAAGCAATATGCTGATTTTGCATAACTTCAAAAACCATGTCTTGGTAACCATAACAAAATGTTGATCCAAATGGATTAGTAGAATTTTCAGATGATCCACGATTTAATACAACAGGTCTTTCACTGTGTTTAAATCTTTCAGATATTTCATCCCATTTGGTAAATGTATTTACAATTATTGGTTTTGCTTTTTTATCATTATATTTTTTACAATCATTAGATAAATTGCATTTTGATTTTTCAGAAATTAATGTAATATTAAATTCACATCGATGATAACTGTATATTTTCATAAAAATAAATAAATATGTTACTAATACAATTTAAATTTTTATAAATTTTTAATACTCACATATTAAAATTATAATGACCAGGAAAATTAGTGTGTATAATAAATTTTTTAACCTTATGTGTTTTGGCATCAAAAAGTATATCCTATAAATTATTTCAATAACTATCATCATTCATTATAAATTAAATTAAATGTTCAATAGATACTTACAAATCCTAAGGTAAAATAGTTGAAAAAATAGTCTGATCGTCTAGGAACAGATATGTGTCTATGAACATTTGGAGAATGTATTTTCATTTTATCCTCAGATTTATAAAAGACTTGTGATGGGGTACCTAACATAGAAGTAACATCTTGACATGACATTCCAAAATAAATTTCACGATTATGATACACTTTACGACCACGGTTTGAACCTAAATGAACATCCATTAGTTTTAAAATTAATAGCTATACAATGTACTTACATTAATAGTATTTCATTTTAAAAATTTACCTGAACCTTCCAAATACAATTGAATCATAAAACTTTTTGTATTGGTATGATCTCTTTGCACTTCTAATCGTTCCAAATAAGTTAACCCTTTATAACATGATAAAGGGTGACATGGAACATTTAGTATATCTTGACCAGGAAGCGGACTTCCAGAGAATATAAGTACACGACTAACATTTGGAGAAGCTCCACTGGCAAACTGTAAAGATCCTAGTCCACACTGAGCACTACCAGCCTAAAAATACATATTTTTAGAAATAAATTAACAATAACGAAAGTTAAAAATTTTTAGATACATACTTGAAATTTTGAATCAACATTAAAACAAAATGAAATTCCTCGGAAATTTAATGTAAATGTCTGTTTTTCAGCATCAAAAACACCAGGATGAGTAGCACCAAACGTATGTTCTACTTGTTGTATGGTAGGCATCACTTCTGGAGCATTGAACACCATACCACTGTATAAGCAATAAAATGATTTACAAAACCATAATAGAAAATATTAAGCCTTAATAACGATTTTTGTATGTTAAATACAAATATTTACAACCATTAATGTACTTGAATACTTGCCAATATTTCAGTTTAATATTTTTCAGGTTAACTATTTCAATCATCTGAAAATAATTGGACACAAAATTAGATCAAGAATTATAGAACACGTTTATGACCCAATATTAGCATACTTTTAATCGTTGAAATACAGGATGAAATATAAATCGAATACCATCTTGAGGAAGGTCTAATATGAGATCAATATCTAAAGGGTTCTGCAAAATTATAAAAATATAAAATTAAGTAAGAGTATACAATTAATACATAATTACATACCTTATCGCTATACAAAACTTGAACCCCTTTTATAATGCCAACTTGAGACTGAATTATTGCAACAGCTTGACAAAAATGCATACCTAAAAACAATTTGTTTATATGATTTAGTCATTTAAATTTTTGTTGAGAATATTTTGATGATACTTGTTTAAACATGATCGAGACAAATGCATTGTACAAAAAAAAAATGAAGGATTAATGCAAAAAAAATAAATATAGTTACAGTTTATTTTGTGTAAATTTTGTATGTATGTTATAAATCATTCAAGGGTACATCATTAAAAAAAAAAAAGAACATAGGTATTATGTTTGACATTGTATACATTTTTTTCATACTTAATTTGTAAAATATTTAATAAAATGTCCTGTTAAATGGCAATATTTAACATATAATATTTGCAGACAATTATTTATGTATTCAATTTTGCAGTACTGACAAAGTTGGTCAATTATTTCATAAATTAATTATCATATGTACAGAGCTCTTTGTTAACAAATTAATCAAATAATGCAATGTAGTAAACAAGTAATCTGTTGTGTAAGACAAGTAACTAATAGTCTCTGAATAATGTGTATTAGAATAGTCAACTAACAAATATTATTCAGCTACATCTGCAAGTTTTAAAAACTTTAATAAATATTATTATTATAATTATTATTTTTCAATGGAATTCGAGATAGTTTAAACAAACGCGGCAATGTTCTCAAAAACTTCAATCAAAGTATAGAGGCCAGAACGTTGCACGACGAATTAATACCTATATAAAACATTGAAAACTTACCCAGAACGAATTCCCATTGTTCGCATCCCAGAGACCTTTCAGGAACGACGTCCAACGTTAACATTTTTCAAACTACGTACAAATTAAAGCACTGAACACTACGCACGGATCGACGAAACGTTGGGGCAGTTATGCCATAATTTCTAGGACAACGGGATCTGAAGGTAAACGAAATAGAAAATCGTGCGAAATCCGATTAACCTTTTAAATGACGTTCATAGTAATAATAATAATATAATAATAATAATAATAATAATAATAATAATAATAATAATAATAATAATAATAATAATAATA